TTACTGTTGATATGGCCACTGCAGCACCAAGGGATTTTTCAGGACTCACAAGACTTTTCAGGACTCACAAGACTCACAGGTCTGGTCATTCATCTTGGGTCAGAGATGTGCTCCTCCTATTCTCTGAAACCACAACAGATATCAATAAACACTGATACAGTGTTGCTGGGAAATAAAGCAATAACTGTGTTTAAAGTACCAGGCTAGCACCCAACTCTGCCACAAGAAATTAATTAGGCCATAAGTCTTAAATAGCAATGTTGGCCCTATATTCATTTTTACATCACCACATAGTTGATAGTGCAGTGGGACTGGCTGTAATGCTGTTTTACATGTTGTGAGCTGGATGATACTGAGGTGCTTTAAACCTGGCTGCTGGTACTGGCTGCTGACCTCTATTGAACATGCTATCCAGCACATAGTGTAATACTGCATGCACATACTGCCTGCCCTGCATGCAGGCTTAATGTGGAAGAGGAGATTCCGTTAAATGAATTGTATAATGCATGATACACCAGAAGCAGGAAAGGGCATTTTGTGGGATTAGATAGAACCACTTAACTTGGTAGTGGCCTGTAGTTCCTGTTCATGTTCAGTGTGTGGAGAAGTCAGCGGGAGCACTGTGGGGAGCCTGCTTGTGCCCCTTAAGAAGGAAAGTGAGGAGAGTCCTTGTGCTGTTTGCAAGTCTGCCAGGGCAGGTGGGTGATCTATAAGAGACCTTGGTAGTACCTGTACATAGTCAATAGGATCTTATCTGTGGGCTGGCTGTAGCAGATAATTACAAATAACAGCAAAATAATTTCAAAACTCAAACCATTTCCTTTGTATCTGAACTTAAATACAATTTGCTAAAGATCCTTGCCCTCACTAATGCAGAGTTTTAGAAGGGCTGGCATTAAGCATGCAATGTTTTGAAATAAAAGTAATTTCTAAATGGCACTTCCAGGAACACCAAGCAGCTTCAATTTATGCTGGCCATTATAAAAGCTGCTGGTTCTCCATTATCCTGAAATCAGATCAGTTGTGATCCTGGTGGCTTTCCAGGAAATGTGCGTGCTACCCTCATGGCCTGTCTGCACTGAGTAGGTAGGATGGATTCAACTTTCCTTCCGTTTCTGCCTAAAAATCAGGGATCTCAGTTTTGTCAGCTTGAAATGGCTGTAAAAAATCAGTGTCAGGCTCCTGAAGTGTCGTTTACAGCTAGGCTGGAACAAGGACTGAGGCTGGAAGGCAGACTTTCTTGTGTTAGTCCCAGTGGCCTCACTATTAATGATCTAGACCAGGATGCTTCACCACATGGGCACATGCTGGCTCACATTCAGCCATTGTCAACCAGCTCCCCTAGGTCCTTTCTTGCCAGGCAGCTTTCCAGCCTCTCTGACCCAAGCCTGGAGTGCTCGGAGTAGTTGTGACACAAGTTTAGGTGTTGAGTCAAGTGTGTGGCAAGATCTCAAGAAACCAAGTTGCTGTAATAGTTATTTATAGTGACTGAATCAGTGAATAATTCAGTGGTTGTCAGAAATATTAGGTTTGTATTTTCAGTCACATAAGGTATAGTGAGACTGTATTTTTCTGTCATACATAGCCATACCTGTGCTTTTTCTTTTCCAACTTAACAAACCTGAAGTGCAGTCTCTGTTGAAGATGCAGGGAAGCAGTAAATGAGGAAACAAAGTGACTTTGCTGGAAGTGATATTCTTAAAATATATGCTGTGGTGTAATTTGTAAGTTGAAGGTTTTGTGATGGCTGTAAATATCTGTAAAGGGATGTATCTTCTGTCAGGCTGGACTATTTAGAAGAGTTTATTATTTTTTGAGGGACTATAAGCATGACTAGTTACAAACTGGGAAAGGGAGGAATATATTGATTGTGACTGGTCTTCACCAGCTATCTATTCAGTATCTTCAGTGATGTCAAGGAGCCATGGCATGCAGCTGGCTAAAATCAACACCAAAACAGGATTATTTCTGCTCTGTTTAAGCTCAGTTTCAGGGGTCAGGAACATGGTAAATGCAGTAACTGTTCGGAACTTGCAGCGGGGAACTGAGCTACATATTTAGTTTACCATTAATAGCGTATTTAGTCCTCCTAAATTAGTTTGTGTGGCTGTAACTGAGCTAACAACAAGCTCCCTGGAAACTCTGCCACTCTAGTATCTAGCAGCCTGGCTGTGTTTAGCAGATTTTTTTGCTTTATATCAGTGCAATTGTAGGGGAAAACTATTCTGTGAGCTCTATTTAAAATTAGGTTGATTGCTTAATTTGGTCTTTATTTTTTTAAACATGTTTGGAATCAAGCTTTCATTGGGGAAAAAGATGACCTGTAATTGTGGCTGTTGCTGCATCTTTGCAAGCAGTCTTGCAGCTTGTCTTGGAAATTCTTGGCTTGCTTAACCCACACAGAAACTCAAATACCATTCAGTGAGAGCAGAGTAGGCTTACGTAACTTTCCATGGTTTCTCTTGCAGAAGAGATGAGGTAATTCTCTCAGACCTGTTTGTAATGGCCTGGAAAAGTGTTTGGTTTCACTTTCAAATTCTGGATGATTTCACCATGGGAACCTGACAGTGGTGCTCTTTTTGTTTGGGAAAAAATCCCTGTGGTAATTCGAGGTTTTCTGTTTTGGGAGCTTTTGACTTTGAAATCAGGTTTGTAGAGAAACCTCATTTACTTTATGTTCCAGTACAGAATCTCAGTGTGCGCTAAAGAGCTACAGACTAGTTAGAAATAGCTGATCACCATTTAATATGACTGCTTTCTCTAAATATGTGATGTATTACAAGGGAAGCTAGGTTCTTAGCTGTCTGCATGTGGAAGGAAAGATTTATCTTATTTCTCCTGTTGTGTTTTTCTGATCCTAGAGCTCAGGAGAATCATTCATGTGACACAATACTGCTTTCCATAGTGATAGTTATTGTAGGTAGGTAGTCCTTCTCTAATAAAGAACTGTGTTTGTCAAACAGGATTTAGAAATTTGGAAGAGTTTTTCCAAATCCTGTGGATCCAGGACCTACAGTGTCTGCATGAGTCTGCATCACATACAGGGACATACTGGTGCCTTAGGCTCAGCTTCTGGAGTAGTCTTGCTGAGACAAACCCTCAAGATCAGACAATTTGAAAGCAGAGGGGATTTACTGGGAGGAATGAGACCTGCACTCCTTGAACATCTGTATGGGCTATAAGCATGGCAGTGCTGGTAATCTACTGGCACAAGGCTTTTTGTTTTGGTCACCTGGAAGCTGTGGCTGTGTAGAAGACAGATTTTGCTAAGATATCTTGTAGGTAGCTCAACCCTGAGTCTCTTGCATTTTGAGGTCCTTTTGCTGTTTTGTGTTTTAGATCTCACAAAACTGTGTGTACACACAGGAATGAGCTTTCTTGGGAAAACCCCAGTGTCTGGAGGAGTCTGCAGCTATATGATGCAAGCAATTGAGTTGGAGTGAACGTGACCTGCCCTGGACAGATCTCTGCTCATTGTGCAGCATGTTGTGGATCCATATCCTTGCTGCAACAGTGTGTGGTGACAAGAGCCGTTCACTCACTGCTCTTGGAGCAATGACATTTGTGCAACATAGGCCTTAAACTATGGGATTGTTTAAGTGGATCATAAATCTCTTGGCTGGGAGTGTGCTGTGACAAATGACTGTGGGGTGAGGACTCAGTGCTGCTGTAATATGCCCAAACACAGTCGTGAGTAGGCATCTGCAGACCATAAGGCCATGTGAACTGGTGAATTTCTTTCATAAAGGTGAATAGGAAACCTTATTTTCTTGACTATCTGACCTCATAAAATTTTGATTGTAGGACAGAGGTATGTGCTGATAAGTAGAACTGTAGCCAGGTACTTAACAGTTCTGTAATCCATTGATTTGGTTGTCTGCTTCTATATACTATGGAATAAAGCTTTCCAAAGTTTCTCTGGTTGAGCAAATGGCATGGTTAGGTACTTAAGTGGAGGAGAGTGACCTGGAATTCTGTTCTTACCATGTTGTCCTAGGGTGACTAGATTTCCTCCTAAATTTGTCTCAAACCAGGATAAATATGAATCTTGCTTTTGGGATCTCTTCTTACATCCTTGCAAATGAACCTGGCTGTGTTTGAAGGACCAGAAGATGCTTCTTTGGAGATCCCTTGCTGGGCTGGCAGTAGGACTTTTTAGTGGGTTGAACAGTTCCAAGGAAAGGCTTTGTGCTCCACAGCACAGCAAGCAGTGTGGAAGTCCACCTTCCAAAGTATTTTCAACACTTGATCAGTCATATTCAGACTACTGTGAATGGCAGGACAGCACAGAAAAGTTAATTTCCAGTGCCAGGATCTCTGCAGCCTTCCCACAACTGACTCAACTCAGAATTGTGCCCCACAGATGGTCGTTGACTGCAAGATGTTTGCTGTCATTACCCATCAATATTCCTCAGGGCGTACTGATTTATTAAACAGACACTGATGATGTTGATAATTCAAAAATGCCTGTGGTGGCAAAACGTAGTATTAGAAATACAGGTGGATGGACCAGCTTAACTTTCAAAGAAAGACAAAATAACTAGAGCAAGTTATGTAACTTTTTTTTTTTTTTAATCATGGGAGAGTAATTTTAAGTATTTTTACAGGCAAATATAAAACAGGTCTTTTCAGCTTAGTAAACATTTTTTAGTCTGATTTTGAACTCAAAAAAAGAGCAGTGCTCTCTCAAGTTAAATATTTTCCAGTGTATTTAACAACAACTGTTGAATAGTGCTTCTTGAATTGGGACATGGTAAATGCATTTTGGCTTGCTTTCTGAGCATTACCAGCCCAGGTGTTTTGATTTTTGTTGTTCAGTTAGTGTTTTGCTCGTACAAAATTGCATAGAGTTACACTGTTGGGCCACTTGGGCACTGGTTTATAAAATGAGCAATTTAGTAGCCTTAATGAATTTTTTTCCCCCAATCTTTTCACTGTAGTTGTTGCTTGTTGGTCTTTTTTGTTGTGTTTCATAGCTAAAATACTCTGCTTTTTTTCAGGCTCACATTAAATTTCCTATTGACTATCCATATTCACCACCTACCTTCAGATTCCTGACCAAAATGTGGCACCCCAACATTTATGAGGTAAGGTGTTTTTTAAATAATTTTTTTCTGGGGTGTGTGAGAGAGCTTCTTGCTCCTTAAATTCAGTATATGTATGGGTTACTTTCAGAGGGTAGTGGACTGTCAGCAGTTGGATCAAAATGGAACTACACAGCAGGTCCAGAAGAGGAATGATTCTATATAGAGGCAATGGGTTCAATATCACCCAGTTCCATAGAGTTGTATTTGAAGGCTGAAGGCTTGTTTTGGTTCAAGCCAAATCCTAGCTGAACTTTTGGGTATCCTAGAATAATGTTAACCTGCTAAGGAACACAGCCTCTATAGTTTTGGGAGCTAAAGGATTTCAAAATGTTCCTTTTGGTGCAGGTCTCTCACCTTATCACAGGCTTTCTTATGTGAGGTTCTGCAGACTTCCTTTGAACCCATCTGAAAACTGGAATGTCATTCTCTTCCATCCCTGAACAAATAGAGGCTTCATTTGATGGCCTGGGCTTGGAAAGTCCTTTCTGATAAGTTCTTGCTGCCGAATGCCCAGCTTGGAATGTGTGTGCTTCAAATATCATGGTGAGATCTGTATTGATGGCTTAGTAATAAATGGCTAGAAACCTTGCCAAACTTCAGTGCAGAACAGAATAGTAACCCACTTTAATTATTGACTGCTCAGGGGATTGCCCTAAATCCAGGGGCATACTGAGATCAGTTATCTGACAGTTTTCTGATGTGGGTTTTGTACTTGGCACAGGATCTTTCCTGTATCCAAGGATGGTGTGGCTCTTAAAGGCTCTATTTCAGTTATTTTGATCTATAAATAAAGTCAAGTTTGAAATCTTCAGATAATTGCAGACCCATACTGTCTGTATTGATTCTGTATCTGGAAGTGCTCATGCAGGAGGTGAGTGGCAAATGGTTACCAAAATGAAATGTACAAAAAACAAACCTTGGAAAGGACCTCTCCCAGTCCTGGTGAGAAAAATTGACTAGAAACAACTGAAGGCAGCAGGAGGAACTAACCCAAAACTTTATTTTGCGTGTATTTTGGGTTTGCTCAAACCCAAAACTTGATGGGTGTATTTTGGGTTTGCTGAGATTACACGAGCTCTCAGCTTTGTATTCATAGCAATATTTCTTGAATCTGAAGCATCTTGCAGGCTGTTTTGCAAACAACATTTAAGCAATGAAGATAAGGCACTGGGATAACTCCAAATGAAACTGAGAGTATCTCACCAAAGTGTTTGAGATTTGAGGGTTTTTCAGGAGGAGGGGTACAAAAAACCCTTAGTGCAAGGAAGATGAAAGAAAATAGAAGTTTACAGAATCTGCTGGTAGGACCAGATGGAGAGGCTGGGGCTGACATTCCAGTTCTGAGCAATGAGACTTGAGCAATGTGTGTTTTTCCTATCTCTGGTTTACTTGGGTCATCTAATTGAATTTTGATAAAACTGCATTCATTTGCTCTTTATTTTTATGGCATAACAGTTCTCAGTCCTGATAGAAATGGAGGATATATGTCAATGGTAGATAAATACCCCATTCTCCTTGTTTATGTCTTCCAAAAATGCATGTAGGAAAGGCTTGGCCCCTGACTGTCCTGATCCCTAAGACTTTGTGCTGACCTCATCAGGTCCCATTATACCTTTACCCTTCCAGATTCTTAATGCAGTGCAGTTCCCAAACATGTAACACTGATTGTGGTAACACAAAAAATTCTCCCATCATTGCTTCCCTCTGTCTTCATTTTGCCAAATATGTCCTTGTCCACATGCTGCTGACCTGATTGCTTCAGGAACTTTTCCCAAGTGCTGAGATTCTTCCTCTGGGCCACTAGCATTGCATTCTTCCAGGAAAAGGTTAAAGGAAAAACTAATGGAAATTATTAGTGATAGCAGAGTAAACTGAGCATAGTCTAATATTAGTAAAGTTAACTTCAGCTTGGAGCGATACTAAAAAAATTTCAAGATTTCACAAGCCTTTTGGGGTCCTAAAAGGGAAACAGCCTTCTTAAATCAAACTGTTCCAGCAATGTAAGTATGTGCTTTGGAATTCAGCAGCTCCAGGTGCTTCCTCACTGTTCTTGACTAAAACCTGCTTCAAAGTGACAAGGGCCTGCTAGATTAGCATACCTGGCATGGATAGTGCACCACTGACATCTGGATACAGATCACAACGATCACAACCTCCCCCAGGTGGGCTGCTGCTATTTGTAGCTGTAATCACTGGCCTGAGCTCAAAGGCACAGATGCTGTTGCTGTGAGCAGCCCTGCTCTATGCTCTGAGCAGTGTTGGAAGGATGTGAGACCAGGTGTGTGGGAAGCTGTCAGCCTGGAGTCCTGACAGAGCTGATCCTGTCATCAGCCTGTGCCCTGGACTGGGGTGACAAGCATGAGTGCTGCCCCACAACTGGCTGCAACAGAGAGCAAAGCCCATGGGGCCTGGACAGGAAAATATCTGCTGGCTGGCCTCAGGCCTCATCTGCACCTTCACCTCATCTTGCAGTAAGACACATTTGAGTCCCTGGCGTCTGTCTTAGTGGAGGATATTAGCTGGGATGGATGCTACTCCAGCCCTCCTACAAAGCAGTTGTGTCAGAATGCTGTTGCTGATGGAGAATTGGGTTGACAGCTTTCCTAAATAGGCATTATGAAACTTTAAATCTATATTCAGGCCATAACACTGGTGAGTAGAACACATATTGAGGATTATGTGGCTGTATGGCTTCCATATGCTGCCAGAATATTCTTGCTTTTCCATGCTGCATGGGATTTTCACTGAAACCTTCAGAGAGCATCTCCTGCCTTTTCATCCGGTATTTTGAACAGCTGTGTCCTAGGGGAGCTGTGTAAGCCTGCCCCACACCATCTGTTCAAGATCCTTGTGTCCTGGGAGGCGTAATGTTTTCATACCTTTGCTAGTAGACAGTGATTAAACCCTTCAATTCAAAAATTTCCTGTAGCTAGCTTAAGCTACCAGTGGGAATACAAATTTTCTTTAACCCTATTTGGGGTCTCCTGTAATTAAACCTTATGTCACTGTGACAGTAGTACTTGCTATCTGGAGACCAATTTAGTCTTACATTACATTATTACTATTTTTGCTTACTTCAGTACATTCTTTAAACCTCTTGATTTTATATTGGAGTTTTTTGCCAGTTTGCAGGCTAACCCTTGGGTATAAAGTAAATCCAGGAAGAATTCAGAACCATTTCCAGCCCTTGCTGGTTTTTGCTGGCACTTGGATGTTCATATCAACAAGGTTAAACTGATCAGAAGACAGCCAAAGTGATGGATTTGAGTCATCATGCCTCAGCCTCCAGACAAGCTATTCTCAGTGCTTTTTTCTGTCTTGCAGAATGGAGATGTATGTATTTCAATTCTTCACCCACCTGTAGATGACCCACAAAGTGGAGAGCTGCCATCAGAGAGGTGGAACCCTACCCAAAATGTCAGGTAACTGAGTATGTTGTGCAGTGGTGACTTCAAAGGCCTTCCATCTCTACAAGACCTAAGGCCTGTGGTGGGAGAGGTTTGGGAGGGAATTTAAGGTTTTGTGGGGCTTAGGGCTTGAATCAAGTGGGACCCAGACTTACCAGCCTGTCTGAACAGTCTGTCTGTTCGTACATACTGGTCTGCTGTGTTGTCTTCCTGGGATGACAGTGCAGAGCCCCCTGTTCACAGGGTTTCATACTCGGAAGGTAAATTATCTCAAATGTTGAAGCCTATCTCAGTCACTGTTATCTTCTTCAAAGTACTACTGGTGGAAAAGTATGTGTAATGGGTTCCAGGTGCCCACCAAACTGCTCTATTACTCCCATTCCTAGTGGGACAGGAGAGAGAAATATAATGTAGAAAACAACTTCCATGTTTGAGATAAGCCAGGTTACTAAAGCAATAGGCAAAAGCTTGTGCACATAAGCAAAGGGGAAAAAAATTAATCTCTACTTATCGTTGGTGAGCAATGTTCAGCCACTTCCCAGGAAGCAGGGCTTCAGCACATATAGCAGTTGCTCCAGGAGACAAACACTGTGATATAACAAATGTCCCTCATTCGTCCTCTTTCACTTAGCTGAGCTGATGTTACATGGTATGGTGTATCCCTTTGGTTAATTTGGACCAGCTGGCCTGGTTGTGTCCCATCTTAGGATCTTGCCACCTCTCAGCTCCTTGATGGGGGAGTGGGGAATGTTGGAGACAGCGCTGATGCTGTGCCAGCACTGCTCAGCAGTAGCTAAAACACTTGTGTGTTATCATCCCTTTCTAACTTTGAATGGAAAACACTTAGGGCTGCTAAGGGAAAATGAGCTACAGCTCAGCAAATTCAATACAATCTCCACTTTTTATTCCTTACCATTTGTGTCATGTTTAGATCCCACATAATTTATTTTTCTTCCAACTGTTTCACTGTATTTCTTTCTTATTACTGGAATCCCTTCTTACCCACACATAAACCCAAACTACATCCTTGAACCATCTCTATACCAAACATACATCTTCATTAATCTGTCCTTTCACAGATGGATATTATTCTCCTGTTTCATGGCTTCCTCCAGCCCTCCAGATCTATGACTTATGCTCTACTCCACAAGGATAGGTGATCAGGACAGGAGAAGCAGCACACTTGATTGTTGGTCACCAGCCTTGATTGTTGGCTCACATCATCATCACATTCTCCTTGCTCCTCACAAAAATCATTCTTTGTCAGGTCATGACATTCCTGCTCCTTTACTTCCTGCAATGTAAAACTCACACAGTTTGTTTTTCCCCCAAGTTTAAGTCTCCTTGAGGTACACACTGGGTCTCCCCATCCTTCCACATTACCTGCCAAGTACAGGTTCTTGCACAAGACAATTCCACTAATGTGCTTTCCTTTTCTCATGGGAGGAGAATCCATGCTGATTTCCCCAGCCACTTTCCTGTGTGTAGTGCAGGGATCTTATATCCTCCCACAGTGTCTGTGGGCTTAGTTTGGGCAGGATCAGTGCAGTTAGCATATCCCCTAGCATTGACCAGCCAAGTGGCTTCTGCAGAATTTGCATCCCAGTGCTTCCATGTCCCATTACCTAAAGCTTTCAACAGTCTTCAGCATTTCTCAGTCTTTCTGGAGGCTTGTGGGTGGTAAGGGATGTGATATATTCACTCAATGTTTCTTTGCTCAAGAGTTTATGAGATTATTTTGAAAATTAGTCCCATTTTCTGATTCAGTTCTCTCTGGGGTACCATGTCACCACAAAATGTGTCTCTTGAGACCTGAGTTCATGTTCCAAGCATGGTACATTTCTAGCCAGTTGTTGCCTCTGCCATAGTGAGTATGTAGCTCTTGCCTTGGCATGTTTGTGGCCCAGTGTTAACTATTTGCCAGGCCTCATCATACTGGAAACCCAGCCACTGCTCTCTGTTCCAGGGATATTTCACTTGTGTGGCTTGCTTGATGGCAGCACATTTTTCACATTCATGGATAACCTGTGTAATGGCCTCTATGGTCTGGTCCACCTCTCAGTCATGAGCCCCTCTGTGTGTTACACCCCTTCCTAGATGTCCTGAAGTGGCCTGGGGCTAGAAGTAGTTCTCTCTTTTGCTCCCAGCCTTAGTCTACCTAAATTATTCCAATCTTCACAGCCTTACTTATCTGTTCATTGTTCTGGTGTTCTTCTGCAGCAGGTAAGGACCAGGAGACATCACTCACCAAACATCATCACGGACAAAACAGGCTAGAATTAGAGACATTAATTAAATTTGTTACCAACAAAATCAGAGCAGAAAATGAGAAGTAAAATAAGACCTTAAATAAGAAAAAATAAGACCCCCCCTCCCTCCTTCCCAGCTCTATCTCCTACCACAGCAGAGTATGGGGGTAGTGGAATGGGGGTTATAATCAGTTCATCACACATTGTTTTTCCTGCTGCTAAGAATGAGGAGTGTTCCCCTGCTGCACCATGGTGTCCCTCCCACAGCATGCCAGATCTGCATGAACTCTGCCAGCATGAGTCCACCCCATGGGCAGTAGTCTTCCCCAAACTGCTGCAGAGTGGGTCAGACTTCCACAGGCTGCAGTCCTTCAAGGACAAGCTTCTCTAGTGAGAGATACTCTCTCCATAGGTCTCCCACAGGATCACAGCCTCCTGTGGGCATCCCCCTGCTCCATCCTGGGCTCCCCAGGGGCTGCAGGTGGATCTCTGCTCCCCTGTGCCCTCCCTGGGCTGCAGGGGCACAGCTGCCTCACCATTGTCTTGACCACAGGCTGTAGGGGAATCTCTGCTCCAATACCTGGAGCACCTCCTGCCCCTTCTTCTACACTGATCTGGGTGTCTGCAGGGTTGTTCCTCTCATGTGTTCTCACTCTACTCTTCTCTGAACATAGTTAAAATTTCTTAAGTATGTTTTCACAGAGACATTACTGCCCTTTCCAATTGTCACAGCCTTGACCAGTGGCACACGTGTCCTTGGAGCTGCCAATGTCTGCCAGACATAGAGGAGCTTCTGGCAGCTTCTCACAGAAGCCATCCTTGTAGCCCTCTGGCTACCAAAGCTTGGCCCTGCAAACCCAATACAGGATTTTGAGCAGAAGTGACTTGGCAGAGTTCTGCCTTTTGTTTGCCTTCCTTTGTTTTTCTGTCTCCTTGTCCTACTGAGTGGTGTTGGGAGCAGCTGTTGGTTTTCTTCCTGAGAAGAATATAAAGGATCACTAAGTACCAGAGACATTCAAGGCCTAACCTGTCCATGTTTTTGAAACAGCAGCTGAATTTCATTCTCATTACAAGACAGTCAAACAAAGAACCAACTAGGTGACAAGCCTTAACTCACAGTTAGGAAACATCTTTGGGCATTAATTACATATATCACATGTACATTTTGAGTATTTCATTATATTCAACCGTAGAGACTGACACGGAACTTCTCATGGTGCTTGTTCTCTAATTTCTGCTCTCCCTCACCACTGTTGTAGTTTTCAGTGCTATAGCTCTTGAATCATCTTGGGCTTAAGGGTGACAGGTCAAAATATTCCTCAGCAAATAAATGTATCAGCAAATGAAAATAAAACTGGTCCTTCTAACCATCACTAGTTGGGCAGAGTGCCAGCAGAAGGGCATCCTGCTGGGGTCCCATCTGGTTTGGGAAAGCTTCAGAATGTCAGACAGGAGGCAGAGGGGCTGAAAATGTGGGAGGGAGCTGCTCCTCTGCTGCTGAATTCTGTAAGTCTTGCCAAGTGTTGACTATTTCTCCACAGATGAACAGGTTTGAAGTGTCTGAAAGGGAAAATTCATTCTTCAACTGTGAGAGTTCACATGTGCTTCTTCTAAGGGTGTCAAGCAGGCTCATTTATTTTTTTAAACACAATCAATTTGGACTTTCCTGTCACTGGGAGTTAGGTGATGCAGGCATAAGTAAACAGGGCAAAACCCAGCAAGATGTGAAGGAATGCAGCTCTGATCTGTGTGGGAGAGAATACTGCTTCCTATGTCCCATGGAGCTGAGTGAGTGGTAGAAGGGTCGGGGCTGGGGCTCTCTGGTCATTTTAGTTGTCCTTCTCCACATCCCCTTTGTCTCCCCTACCCTTGAACTGCACAGGCCAGGACTCAAGGTACTGGTACACCTGTATCTCCTGCAGATAGGTGGTGTACTGTCTGCCTATTGCTTTGTTTCTTGAGGATTGCCATTTTTCTTCGTTTTTTTTGCTGCCTAAGATTTGGGCAGATTCCACAAACAGCTTGCTGCAGTAACGTGACTGTCAGTGCAGCCTAGGCTAAAATGTTTAACTTTATACCAGAAGGCAAAAATACACTTGGACCAATCTATACCTACATCCTGAGGTAGCTCTAAAAAGGCTACAATGTAGATAGCAGCTGGAATGAAAAAAAAAAATTCCTTTTTCAACAAGGAATATAATAGGATGTGCTGGTTGGGAGCACCAGCCAATCTATGTCATGTCTCTTTGGGGAGAAATTGATCTGTGTCTGAGCCTTCTTATACTGATACAGGAGAAAAAACGAGAACAGGTCTGTTTCCTTGAGCCCCTGCTGGCTGCTCTTCCATGCTACAGCAGCCTTGTCTGAAGGGGAAACAGATCCCTGACAATATTCCAGAGACTCAGTCTGTATCCAGCCCATGTAGTTTGCATCTGGCGCTGAGGTTTTCAGTCCCACATGGTTGAGCTGTTTTAGAGGTTTTAGTCTTGTCAGATCCCCCATGCTGGGGTGCCTTTCTGTTACTGTACCTTGTTCAGGGCAGCCAGATTTGAGTTGTAGGACACTGTCCAGCTTTAAAGATATCAGCAATGCTGGAGCTGATCTATTGTGCTGGATGGGAAGGAAGAGCTTGGAGAGCTTCACTGCTAATACAGTTGTCTTGGTGTATTTAAGTAGCTTTGCAGTAACTTTGATGTCTGGACACCATAGTGAAAATTGGCTTTTCTTCAGTGTTGATGGAAGTGTGGTAGAGCAGATGCTAAATCCAGATATGAATTCCTGTCCTTGACCTTCCCTAGACTTTGTTTGCTCTACGTGAAAGCTGCTGCATGATGCTGGAACTGACATGCTGGCCTGTTTGCAGAGAATCAAAGGCTCTTAAATGAATTCTTGAGATGAAGTAGAAAATGATCTCTTCTGCCCATCATTCCAATCCAGTGAGACAGTTTCTTCCAGAGGTGCTGTTCTCTTTTTGTACAGAATTTTATAATTTAGAAAATGAATTGTATAAGCCTCTCTTGATAGGTGTGCCGAACAGTCTGTTCAGATACAAGTGTTTATTTTCAAAACCTTTCAAGATACTCAGTATCCAAATGACCAAGCATTTCCTGGAATTGTACCCAGATATACGATCTGGTAGATGTGCTCTGAACATGCCCCTGAATCAGTGCAGAGCTGTGGCTCCCAGTCTCCTTTAATTAAGGTCTGCAAAGTGGCTGTTAGGTAATGCTGTGTTTCAAGAGCTATTCCCTGTCCCTTGTTTGTCCCTTCCACTTGAAAGGGAAGCTGCTGCTGGCAGGACCACTGGGATGAGTGATGCTGTCATGGTGACAGCTACAGCAGGTGGCTGGGTATGGGTGTCTGTGCTGGTTGAGACACATGAGACATGAGCAGCAATGGTGCGTCTTTCAAGTGCAGGGTTCTAAGAACTGCAGGAGAAAGCTTTGGGCAAGAGGATGGTGTTTGCAGCTGGTAAATGCCAGCAGAGCAGGGCACCTGGCTGGAAATCCCAGAAGACTGTCTGTCTGCCTGCCTGCCTGCCAGGGGTTACATGATTGGCTCATGTTGGCTCTGCCGAGTACCGGCAGCTGAATCCCACTGGGCCCTGGCACCTTGCCTAGGCATTGAAAAGCATCTACACTGTCTTTCCCTTGCTGTGCTTGAGAGCTTGAGAGCTGCTGCTGCTGCAGTCTCAGCAGGGCACAAGCTGAGGAGTCCTGCCCCAGCCTCAGCCTCCCAGACACCTGGCAGGGCAGGGGAAAAGTAATTTCTGCTGGCCTTGGATCATAGTGGTCCTTCTCCCTCTGCAGGGCAGGCAAATAGCCTGGCTTCCTGCTGGAGGCTGCAAGCCACCAGGAGCAGCTCACAGAGCAGATTTCCAGCCCCATCCCATCTGTGGAAAGTGCAGACAAGCTGAATTCTGGCCTGATTATAGCTTTCTGTGCTGCCCTGTCCTAAGCACAGACATAATGGTCTGTAGTCACATGAGGTTTGTGTTGTGCCACCTTCCCTACACCAGTGTCCATGGCCTGAGGTTCATAAATACCTCTTCTCACTTAAAAATACTGTCCTCAGCTTAAGACTTGGCTTCAAACAAGTTTGTGATGCAACACCTAAAGAAGTTGTGGATATCTAGAATCCATGAATGCTTTAGCTCTGACTCTGCCATTGTGATTACCTCTTTCAGGACTATCTTACTGAGTGTAATCTCTTTGCTTAATGAGCCCAACACATTCTCCCCAGCCAATGTGGATGCATCAGTCATGTTCAGGAAATGGAGGGACAGTAAAGGAAAAGACAAGGAGTATGCCGAAATCATAAGGTAAGCTTTGACAGATGTGATGCTGGACTACCAGCATTCTGCTTTGAATCCTATCAAACAGGCTGCTTCCAGAATTTGCTGAAACCTGCATCTCGCAGCAGAATGTCATTTGGAAATTAATTTCAGTGTCTTATTCAAAGTCCATGCTTCAAGTCCCTCTAGAATTTTTCAGCACAGAGAAGCAGTGCAAACTTCTGGGGAAGGAGGACTGGGCTGATTTTTCTTTAAATTGGTTTTTTTTTTTTTTTTGACTAATATGTCATGATGCTTTGCAAAACCTATTGGCTAATAGTAAATCCTAGTCAAAGTCCCTGCTTGTCGTTAAGCCCTGCATTGCTTGGGATGTGATGCAAACTGACTGCAGCCTACTAATTTCTGTGCTTTATGCCTGCATGAATCATAATCTTGTCCCTCCAATACAAAGGAGCATCAGCAGGATTTGTCAAGGGCTTGCAGAGCTGAGTTGGATTAGCTGAAACCACTGGTCAGTCCTGCCCTTGAAGAAGTCCATGGTTCATCAGGAGCTGCAGGGGGATGATGTGAGCGTGGGCCAAGGCTGCTGTGGAGGGACAGTCCGACCTGGAGCAGGACTGCTGGCATGAGGCCACATCTGCATTGTCTCTGCCAGATGGGCAAGCAGGATGTGGCCCTGGGTGGGGCCAGGGGGACTCTGTGCAGAGAATCCTTCAGCTCCCTTGGCTCCAGCAGAGCTGGGTGCACTGCACACAGGGCATGGCAGAGCGATGGGCCCTGGGTGGGTGAGAGGACAGGCTGCCATCTGCTCCTCCCTGCTGGGATGCAGCAGCCAGGCCTGGCTCGGGGTGATGGAAAATACTTGGTTTCTGTGAGCCTCAGGATGTGTCCTGGGGTGCTGCCATGTGCCCCAGCTGCTCTGACCCTCCGGTGGGAGCTGAGAACTGGCAAAGGCTTGTGGGAATTGCAGTTTTGGGCGTGCTGTGGGAGAATTGTCAGCGGCAGAGTCCATAAATCATCCTAGGAAATCCCTGACCATCCCTACGGTAGCGAATGGAATTTGTTTTGGCCTCTAGCAGGTCTCTAGTGCAGAGTCTGTGGGATAACTGATTTCATATGTTGCCGAGAGTGTGTGTGCTGCAAACCCCCTTGGCATGCTCCCAAGCCTGGGCCTGCAGGAATGAAATCTGTTTCCAGTGCTGTTTGTGGTGCGTCCTGCAAACCTCAGCTCCCATCTCCAGCTGCCAGGAGGGCTGGGCAGGGCCTGGAGAGGAGGGCGGAGAGCTGAGCCACTGGTACACGGCCCTGCTCACATCCCCTCTGTGTTTCCCCACAGGAAACAGGTTTTGGCTACCAAAGCTGAGGCAGAGAAGGATGGTGTGAAGGTCCCCACTACACTGGCAGAGTACTGCATCAAAACTAAAGTGCCTTCCAATGATAACAGTTCAGATTTGCTTTACGACGATTTGTACGATGACGACATTGACGATGAAGATGAGGAGGAGGAGGATGCCGACTGTTACGATGATGATGATTCTGGCAATGAGGAGTCGTGACTTGCTCCCTCTATGCCCCTGTACTGCCCTGCCGACTCAGGCCAGAAGAGAGCAGCGGTAACCTAGCAGCAGTCCAGCAAAAAAGTGGGGGGGGTGTCAAAAAAAAAACAAAAAACACAAAAACAAAAAAAAAAACCAACACAAAACTTTGTCTCCTGCTGTCTCCTGTTGTATGGATCTGTTTGCTTCTTTTTTATGGACCTCTTAGAGACCCGCCACAGAATGTCTGAATTCTTGCATTCTTAGCCCTTTCATCACTGTATTACAATTTCTTTTTAAAAAAGAAACTCCCCTTTTCACTTCTCTACGAAATGCTGACAGCAAAACAGGTTTGCTCGTGTTTAGAGTCTTGAATTAAATACAGTCTTGCATTGAGATGTTTAATGTATTTAAAGCTGGAACAAATCCATTGGAAGCCGGGTTTTTGGGAGCTCAAAGTGCTGCATTTACTCGGAAGAAAAAAAAATCCCCACGAAGCAAATTGCCAAGGTTTAGCTGCTCCATTTACAATAATAGCGTGTGTACATTCGTTTAGCCTTGTGGTGGTGGCTTTTCCTTTATAAGGTGTGGGGCAGAGAGTGTAAAGCTACTGTGTGTTGAGCTTGATGGGATGTCACTGAAAGGTACAGTAATCCTTTTCAGCCTGCTAAGTTAGCAAATAGCTGGCCCCTGGAGCCCCAGAGGGCACAAGCAACAGCAACTTTGTCTCTGGAAAAGGCTTGTGATATGAACATAAAATAAACACCTAACACTTCACATCTGTACAACTGAGCCCTGGGTTGCTCTTTTTTTTTTTTTTCTTTTTTTTTTTTTTTTTTTTTTTTTTTTTTTTTTTTTTTTTTTTTTTTTTTTTTTTTTTTTTTTTTTTTTTTTNTTTTTTTTTTTTTTTTTTTTTTTTTTACCCAGACTAGGATAGAGTTGAAAAAGTTCAGTTTAGCTGTTCTGCTGAGATCTGCTGCCAGCTGCCCCTCTCTGGAGGGAGGAGAGCAGATGTACATCCTGCTGCCCAGAGGGCTGCCATTCATGGTGGACTTATTTTTGACAGTGGGATAGACCAGTAGCCTCCTGCCCCGTGCTGGCTGGCAGCCCTTGCTCCCTGCAGCCCCAGCCCTGTGCATCGGGAGCTGCCTTCTGCCGCTTGTGTAGGTCACCTGTGGGCAGGTGCGGCTCTGTGCAGCTGAACTTAAAAAGAGCTGACATGCACTTGCTTAGATGCAGGTTTGTCTACAAAGAAAAGGTAATTAACTACATTGGAAATAAAAAGGTTTATGATTTAAAAAATGACAATCCAAGTGATAAAGTGTGAGATCCTAGCTCCCTTATGGTACCTGGAATTCTGCCCACCTTTCTTGGGCATTGACTTCCATTCTAATTCTTTGCCTAAACATGGAGGCTAAAGTTATGGATTGAGGCTTCAGCTACACACAGAAGAGCTCCTAAAAGAGGGGAATTCTGTTTGTTCTCCTCCAGCACTTCCATTTTTATGGAAGCAAATTCTTTACTGTGGATTTTCAGCAGAGTGGTAAGAGGTAGCAAAGACTAGACGTTTTTTTTAAAGAAATATTTTGCATGCATTTCCCAGAAGAATTCAAAGAGCCCTTGGGGCCAGGGGAGTTTGGAGCTTGCTTTGGTGCCCACGGGGTGTGCGGACTGTCTGTGCTGCGGGCAGAGGTTGGCAGGGCTGGGCTCTCTCCTGCCCGGCTCCCTGGGGCACAGGGGTATGTGCAGCCCCACAGCAGAGCCAGCCAGCAGCAGGTTTTGACAGGCTGTTCAGCAGTGTGCTTCAGCTGATGGCCCAATCTCAGCCTCCCGCATGTTTTTGGGACCCTTGGCAGAGCTTAAGACACTGCATCGTGGGCAGGGGGTCCTGCATGTTCGTGTCTCAGACCCCTCTTCTTCAGGCCGTCGGCTCTCCCCCTGTTGCAACGTGCTCATGTTTGGCTGTGGTGCGGTGCCCCAAGTTCCCCTCTTGCATGATCCCTGGATTGGCAGCTGGGCCTGGCAGCCCCAGGAGCAGATTGGAGATGCTGGCCCTGCTTGGGTGAGACCCTTGGTCCCCAGAGGTACAGAGGCATCACCCTGACCAGAGCCTGCACCTCCCCTCTGTGTGTCTCAGGGTTTTCCATGGTACGTCCCCAGCTGCAGGTCCCTCGGGGGTGCTTCGGTGGGAGCAGGCTTTGTTGTGGATCTGCTCCATGGCTGCGTCCTGGGGTAAGACTGAGCAAAAAAGCTCCGAGTGAGCTGTCCGGATGGAGAGGAAGGCCCTCGGGGCTCCGCATGGAGTGAGCAAGGCAGATGTTTCCAAAGTGTTACTTGGCTGGGGTTTGCAGGGACAGTCCCTGCCCTGGTGGTGCATCCCTCTGCCCGAGTGGTGATTCCTTGTGCCACCTGCCCTCCTGCTTGCATGTCACCTGGGAAGGCAGCTGCACCCTCCTGAGGTGTCAGCTTTCTTCCAGCAAGGACTGACTCAGCCCCAGGTGCTTTTTGGAGCCTGCAGCAGGGCTCCCCTGCGTTTAGTGACAGTGTGGGGCACCCCCAGCTTCATACCAGCCCTGCTAGGTCAGCACCAGGGTTGGCAAATGGGTCCCTGATGCTCCCAGCTGCAGGACTGGACTCGGGGCCACGCCAGGGCAGGGGCACCAACCTCCAACTTTCAGACGGCTGTAGGGAGTGAAGGAGCAGATTGTGGCAACACTGGCTTTGCTGATGACTTGGTTGGAAATGAGGATACTGCATCTTTCAGGATTTCCCTTGTACTTTTGACCGTCTTCACTGTATACTCTCCAGTGACTTGTATTTCCAAGCTTGGTGTTGTAAGATGCATTACTACAACTCTTCTGTTACTCTTTTTTAATGACAAAAAAAGCAACCCCTTTTGAGAGCTCTGACATTAACCAGATTAATTTCTCTTCCCCACTGTCCTGTGCAGTGTCATTGCTTGTTGACTTGCTGGTTTCCTTTTTTTGAAATACAACTGAAGTATTAGGGGATTTTTTTGAAACTATTTAAGAGATTGCAGAAAAATGTTTACCTGCTCTGTGTATTCTGGGTTTTTCTTAACCCCTTTTCTCCTGTTTCAGTCAATACTAGCGTTTACATTTGCAGCTACATGTCCCTTCAAATGCAGTTTTCAACCATTCTGAAACCAGCAGGGTACACTAGATTTCTTAGTAGTTTTCTTAGCTGAACTCCTAGACCTTTTCCTTTTTTTCTTCAGTATAATTTACCAGAAAGAATTAACTGATGCATTTTTGTGTTGTCTTCTCCTTCGGTAGTTATATTTTGTCTTTTCTGCACATCTGTCTACTAATAAAAATGTGAAATGAATATCTCCGTGCAGTTACTTCCATGTTTGAGCTGGTAGCATTGCATGGATTACTCAAACCTTTGAATAGCAGCTGTTCATGAGTTCATTGCTGCTCTGGGATCAGTGGACATATTTATACACCAATAAGTTTATTGCAGAATAATGCTGCAGTTTGACAGCTGCCTGCACCTAAGACCAAAGAAGAAACTGATTTAGAGGACTTTGGCAAAAGGCCAGACCTTTGCAGTTATATTTAGTTTTGCTAAGTAGGAAGGGGGAGAGCAGTGAGAAGGTGGTTCATGGATTCATGTGACTGGAGCAGGGATGCAGGATCTGGGCCAGAGCTAATGGTGGCCAGTGCCCTGACAGGGCAGGAGCTCAGTGGTCCTGAAAGGGTTGGACAGGGTGGAGGAGCAGTTTGACTGCTGGGTGCCAGCCCTGCCAGTCCAGTGCTGTTCCCTGCAGGCTCGGGAGGAGAGCAGGGTGTTTGCAGTGCCCCAGCTGCTGCAGTCGAGCTAAAACTAGCGGGACAAGTGTTAGGGAGTTGCACTGGCTGCACTTGGTATTGATGGCAGCACAGCAGCTGCTGAGTCAAATGTGGCTGGAGCCCAAATGCTTCTGCTGCACAGCTGAGCTGGAGGAAGGGCGATGGCATTTTGGAACTCCCTTCCAAAAGCAGTCTCCAATCTACGGAAAGGGACCAGGAGGGATGGTGCTGTCTGGGATCCGGCCTGCTTCTGTCTCCTGTCTGACCCTACAGCATGGGCTGCCTAGAACTGCCAGCAGCTGCTTCTTCCTGCAGCAGTTTGGGTCCAAAGGCAGGGCAAGGGCTCCAGCCACCCTGCCCTGGGTAAGTCTCAGGGGCAGCAAAGCTGGGGGGGTGGGTTCCTTTTCTTTCCTTGGTGGCCAAGTGCAGCTGGGCAACCTTGCTTCTGCATCAGTGGAATAGGGCTTAGAGAGTGAAATTGCTGCAGGCAAATCCTGCTGAAGTGACAGTGTAAGGGAAGGGAGGAACATTTTGTTGAGTCTCACAAAGAGAGGAGAGGAGCCTGCCTGTGGCTGAAGGCAGGACCGCAGGGCAGCTGGGAAGGTGTGAGACCTGAGGCCCAGGGGCTGCTGGGGACTGGCACCATCTCTGCCATTGCCTTTCCCCAGCTCCAGCTGCCTCGGGACTGTGACATGCACACAAGAACTGAGCTAGACCTGCAGCACACCACTGGGTGAGACCTCAAGAGTGAAGGCAGCCCTGGGCAAGTCTGTGCTTTGAAACAGGTAAATGAGGTGCTGCTGCTGTGAGGGCTCAGCTGCTGGCACAGTCTTGTACAAATTGATGGGCCTCAGCCTGCAGGAACATTTTTGCCCTCCTTGACATTCAGGGCCCAAAGCTGTTGGCAGTGGGACAGCAGCTGAAAAGGGCTTGGAGCAGCTATTGGAATTCAACCAGTGTCAAAACCTAAGGCAGGGCAGAGGAATGCCATTGTAGTTCTTGTGCTGCTCAGAGACCAAGGGAGGCCTAGGTGAGAACTGGGTCTCACAGGGGCCAAGAGCTGGTAACAGAGAAAGAAAAATGGTCTTTAGGATAGAAACAGACTTTTTTCTTGTTGATACTGAAATAATAAAAGCCCCACGCCTGTTGCATACTTCACATTTACCCACCCCCTCTGCTGCACAGGGACAGGATGACCAGGAGGGTAATTCTGGGGCAGGAGACTTCCCTCAGGAGCTCTCACACCCCTGTCCTTCCAGAATCCCAGTGGAGCCCATGGACCTCGTGAGCAAAGCGAGAGGGCAGAGCTGCAGCCGTGCTCTGTTCTTATCAATCCAGCTGCTCAAAGGGACTCGGAGCACCACCCAGGAGACGCCAAAGGCAGAACAGGCTGCTCATGGCAGCAGCAAGGGTGCAGCCCCAGATCCCATCCTTGCTGTGGGTGCCTGAGAGCTGTCAGCACACAGGTAAACTCACTGTTGTAAGACCTACCTGCTGCTTTTACCCTCCCAGCTTGGCTCCTATTGTAGGAACAGGTAGAAAGGGACAGGCTGTAAGAGTAAAACTGCTCCTGGAGCCTTTGAAAATGCAGACAAACACCAGTGATATGATCAGATCTTTATTAGGTGAAGGAAGGGCTATAAAGAAATGAAACTCCTAGAACATTCACTGCACTGGTGCATGACAAGAAGGACCAGGAGTTGCCTCCAAGGTCTATGTTTTAAAAAAAGTGGGGAGGGGCAGATGAAGTTTCCATCCAGTAGCTCTGGCTTTCCTGGGAAGGTGGCTCAGGGCAAAAAGAGGTACAAGACACAGCTTATACTTTTATTTAAGAAACCGCTACATAGTTTTTGCCTCTAATGATGCAAAGGAGGTTCCAGGACACACTGAGCCATCCAAAGTTTCTTTCTAGAGAAAATCACCACCAACAAAAAGCCTCTGCACAAACAAAAACCTAAACCCTGTCCTTTTTATTAT